AGACGCTTGGGAGCACATGAACAAATTAGTAACCAAAAGTGTAAGATGAAATGTCATGCTCATTAATTTTAGGATCATTTATATCTGTGGGAGAGGGGCATATTTTATCAGCCGCATACCCTGCAAATAAAGTCTGCGCACGCCTATGTATACAGACGTACCAATAGTACAGTATAACCATATAATAATATTATAATATACATATGTATAGGTAGTACTAGTATAATATGTGGCGTACTTAATATAATGATAACATTAAGCAGTAGCGTATTTAGATAGGTTGACCCGCCTTGCCCCCCCTCCATGAAATGTGTAGTTGGTACGGATGTAACTAATTAGAATTTAAGAGGGAGTTTTGAAATATTAATTTTTTTGTGTCCCCTTCCCAAAATTAATATCTACATACGCCACTGCCTTTAAGAGTACGCTCAATAACACGCGTGTACAATAATGGATACCTACACGACGAGCGATAGTTGAATGCCAACGTATTTATCGAAAGCGGATTTTCAATATTATAGATTTTTATGAAAATACGATTTTTTCGTTAAAAAATTACTACAATGTACACACAAGATTCTCGTCAGGGAAACACCAAAATACGTTCACACGTCAAAATGCATTTAAATATAACGGGACGTAGATGCGTTTAAAACTGCAATATTGTATATAGGTGCATATATAAATTATTCAATTCATGTATTATAGATTCATCATTAATATCATACATCCATTRATCCATTGCGCCAAAACTGAAATAAAAATGTAGGACTTTTATAGCGTCTCATGCGCACWATCAATTCAAGTATATTAAGTTCATTCTACACTCCATCCGTAAAAATTGTTCAAGGAACGCCATTTAGACACTTAATATTGCAGGTTCTGCAGGAATACTGGCCGGGGTGCATTTTATAATAATCACCTAACATGCAGTTATTATTATAAGATATTTATTTTTAATACATCAAATACATAGATATTAGTAGGTTTTTTTTATTGTGGGGAGGGTGTGATTGCTTCGAAACACGTCTCGTATGAGTGACAAGGATTTGTCACTAAGAACCYGGGTGGTCACCCATCCGGGAACTAGTGACGCCGACCGGCGCTGGCACTCAGAACACGTCAGCTACTATTCAAAGCCAAACGCCAAGCCACTATTATAGGATAATATATCATCAGTGTCAATATATCGATTAAGAAACATTGTAMTAAGGACGATAAAATAAAATAATRTGTTCACTAAACACTGTGTGTGATATTTTACGCGTTGGCTTTACAGATCCTCACGCTGGTCAAGACGTGCGAACCAGTGGCCGAAATGAGGACGTGCCGTTCGCCGAGGGACTGGTCGCTGTTGGCCCTGCAAAACGTCCGCACCGGCAAGTCACATTATCTTGTCATCTGCAGGTGTCCGCACACCAATCTGTTAGGTATGATAATATAACATTATTAATATATCTATGTTGACCATTGTGGTTTTAGATCATGCACAGTCGTGTCGGATCAAACAAACGAATTGCGTAGGTATTCGAAAAAAAACGATATATGTAGTTCCTCAACAACATCGGTTATCATCCATTTTATATCGCATACCATCCTTACAATTTGAACATTTTCACGTCCCATATTCGACCAAACGACCTTTTATTTGAGTGTCCAAAATGTATACCTACGTTATATTAAATGTACACAATTTTATTTTATTGGAAACTACAAAAATATGACGACAAACGGCATTTAATGCACAAAATAATAATTTAAGGGGGGGGGGGTCGTTTGAGAACCTTGCCCAATATTTGATTTTGTACTTCGGCGCAACTGTTATTATTACTATACTATAAAAGGCGCCAACCTTTATTATTCATTGTTCGGGAATTGTAAAACACACTTACTAACGCCAAGTCTWTTTTTACGTACAGAGGGCCCGATGAGTCACGACCAGCCGACGTACGCCAGCGTCCCCGGCATCAGAGTGTACGGCATGATGTGCGTGACCAAGAATGGTGGCGGAGGCGGTCACCAGACCACGTTGGCGCCACCGGTCCACTCCAGTTCAGCGCCGATAAACAAGCGACGGGCAAGGCCCCTGAGGACCCCCCGATCGTTGGACGCCTTCTACAGGAGGTCTCCGGAAAGTAAGTCAACTACTCGACCCGAGTTCGGTATGGTGTTTCCTATATACGCCAAGAATCACTTCGCTATCTCACTATATTATATGGCAAGTCGCATGTGGCTCGCCAGTCAGTCTCGTGTGGATCTCGACACCGAGCTAATTAATATAATATAATATAAAAAGCACTTCTCAAATCTCATTCCTTAATGCGACCTGAACAATAACGTTCAGTGCTGTGTAAAAAAAATATTCATTTATTTGTTATAAAATTAAAARTTGTCTTCATTTTATAAACATATCGCTATACGTGGCTCACTTCGTATTAGCTTCATAAATTCGCGGCTCCCAAAATAAGGGTTAGTGGCCACCCCTGTTATATGGCCTTAATGTGAGTAGAGTACGCTAGAGCGAACAACTCCATTCTCCGCCGTCCAACAATATCAATAATTCGAGTCATCCTAAGTTTGATGGGGTTATTTCCTCGTTATTTATTCGAGGGCCCCTCAATTATGTCAGGATGAGCAACGTGTCAACAGGTTTCGTGCTCTACTGACCCATTTGCTACAACACATTTATATTTTCATTTTTTAAGTGTACAACATTTTTTTTAAACTTACCTAAACGTCATATTATGTTTTTTACAACAGGAGAATTAAAATTAGTATTTATAATGATTAACGATGCAGCCTGAAGGTGTCAAATTAGGCACTAGGCCATCCTCAACAACTCTCATAATATGGTGTGCTCAAAAGTTGTTTATGCTTTACAGGACAATCGTCGCCACCATTCCCTTGGCGCAGAGCCATGCAGTTTATCAAATCCGTGCAAGAAGAAGAATCGCTGAAAAGTAAACAGTCTTAAACCATTCGAAGTCGATACTGAAAACGGTTGAATAAAATTAAAATTCGATTAGCAAATGCATTATATTTATTATTATACAATATTAAAATAATAAAATGTAATGAAGTCGCTCAACTTTTTTCTTTTACCTAAAAATGATTGATCAATTACTTACTTTTTTTTTAATAGATATAATTAATATACAACACACAACAATAAAATAATATCAATGTAATTTTTTTTCTTTTGTATAACAAGGTGCTTTGTGCGTTTTAAATGTTCTATAATATTGTACATAGCACACTCAGGCTACAATTAATTTATTTATTTATTTACTTTTATTCATTAGATTATTATTTATGTAAATTTATGAAAAAATTATATTATTTATTTAAGCATATTTATTTATATATTTTTTTTAATAAATACAATACAAAATTTAACTTTTTAAATTTTTTATTAATATATTAGTAATATTATTACAAAAACGAAAAATAATTTACAAGAATATCCCCAAGTTGTTTGTTGTATGTCACATTATAGTTCATAGGGCAAACAATTTACTGTTATATTTTATGTATGTTGTTATTTGTTATGTTGAATAAACGTTACGGGTTCGGGTGGCAGTATTGTGCTAAACAGTTCCCACTCGTTACCAGTATATAAAAGGAAAAAAAAAAAGGCAAACAATTTAACACAAGTCTAGAAAATAGGACATGAAATATCTAAATCTTTGCAGATAGATACCTAATTGCAGTGCTATTTTCAAGACAATCACAGAGAATACATTTTATAGAAAATAAAAATATATTTGTGCGTGTACTTTAAAACCAAAATATGATCAAATGGTTATTAAATATCAATAATTCTAAGGACACATTTCCATTTTTATATTATTACAATAACCAAAATATCATTTCTTAGATTTTTTAAGCTTTTTAGGTTTCTTATTCTTACTCTTTTTCTTGTGCTTATGTTTAGAATTCTTCTCTATTGTTTTATCTGAACTTTTATTAATACTTCTACTTCGACTTTTACTCTCTGAATGACTTTTGTGGGTTTTTTTAGGATTCTTACTTTTTGAACGACTTCTACTTTTTGAGCGAATTCTACTTTTTGAACGAATTCTACTTTTTGAACGACTTCTACTTCGTGAACGAATTCTACTTCTTGAACGACTTCTACTACTTGAACGACTTCTACTTCTTGAATTGTTTATTTTTGTACGACTCCTACTTCTTGATCTACTGTAACGTTTATTTCGACTTTGACTTTGGCTACGACTACGACTATAACTCCTGGAACTTCTACTGGAAAATGATCGCTTTCGTTTTCGGCTTCGACTACGGCTACGACTTCTGTTATTCTCTGCTTTTTTATTAAGTTTTTGAATATACTTATGATACTTGTGTCCGTAATTAATCAACTGCATTGGGTCAAACATGGGTGGCATTAGGTATGGTCCTCGACCTATGAATTGATGTGTGCCACCACGATGACCTCTCCAATTTCCTCGGCCTCGGCCACGATTGTTTTGGTCATTGTTATAACTGCGGTTTTCAGAATCATTATTATTTGCAGAATCTTAAAAAAAAAGATTAAGTCAAATAAAATAAAGTGCAGTTAATAATAATAAAATAAAAGATAATATCCGGATAATATATGTACTATTGCATTGCAATGAACAAAAAGAGCACTCTGTAGCTAATCAATGTGATAGTAATTAGTTAGAATTAGCATAAAATACAAGTATTATCAGTATAATAAATTATAGATTTGTTAAAAAGTTTTCAACAAGTTTCAACAGTATGGCATTTTTAAATACAAAGAGTAGAATAAATAAGGTATAATATTAATATAGCAATACAATTTTAACAATAAATTGTAGTGTTCTTTTTAACACATCTTTTATCAACGTGAATAACTCAACAGTTTATACACTTCTCCGAAAACTCCACAAAGTCAAAGAAACACTCTACTATAAAATTAGTAAAAACCTACCAATCTAAAAGTTAAGGCTAAAACCACAACTAACACAAGATATTTTACTTGAAGCTCAAGAAGAGGACTATCCAGACTCATAATCAAACTAAAATGTATTTGTAAATCTTGTATTAACATAGTACAAATCCTTGGTTTATTGAAAAATTATATAAATAAGTAAATATAACAACATTTCTTTGGTAAAAAGTCATGTCTTAAGTCAAAAATTGATATTTTTGGCTAATGGAATGATTAGAATCAAACATTTTTATTTTTGTATATTTTTCTGGTACAGATCACGTAAATCAAAACTAAAACTCATTGTCAATTAAATTTGTTTTGGCTTAAACTTTTTAAGTCACATTGTATTAGATACTAAAAACGTGTGTTAAGAGTTAAGAATTTGATCAATCGATAATTTTAATATGGTCTTTTAGTTATCGTTTTAAATGTATAATGCCTCTAGATAGGGTAAATCATGTAAAAGTCTAATTATCTTAAGTCACTTAAAAACCATGGAAAATTGATTTTAAATTTCTATATAATGGTTAACAAAAAAGAAGTTACATAAAATATTGAATTAAACTAATTATCAGTCAAGATATTATTGTCAAAGATTTTTCAATGTTTAGTTTTCTTTTTCTGAAAACTAGGCGTTTTTAACTTACAATATTTATAGCATATGCCAAAGATTTATTTAGGACAGTTTAAAATAAAATTTAAAAAGTTACTTAAAGTGATGATGCTATAACATCATACTTTTTAGAATATTATTGTATTTTGTGGTGTTATATTTGCTGTGTAAGATAAATTACTAATTAAGTAACAATAAACGTAATTAAGTTACTTTGCTCATTACTCAAATATAATTTTAATCAAATAATTAAGTACAGTGAAAGTAAACATGTTGTCAAAAACATTAAAAACTACAGTCAGGTATATACATCAGGTCATGATAACCTAGTTGAAAGTAAAAACAAAAAATTGCTTCAAGGTAAGTACTATTCAAGATGCTTAACTCAAATTCAACATAACCTAATCTTGAGGGGAGTAAAAAATAAATTTAGAGCCTTCAATTTTTTCGAACAATTGCAACTCAACTTTGTTTAATTTAAATTCTCAATACTTATAATGGTATTGCAATTGCATTATATTACTTAGATATGACTTAGGTACCATAAATAATAAATAATTTCCATTACTCATAGCATGCAACTAGACTAAAATTACGACAAAATTTTGCAATGCATTATAAACTAAGTAACATTATAAAAGTAACGATTTACTTTTATACATTAGTAACACTGAAAATTAATGCACTATCAAGAAAGCTTTACCTTGATATAATTAATAAAAACTGTAAAACCATAATCTTAACTTCTTAGTTTCTTAACTTATTATTAAATTATGAAATTTACTTTTTAATATTTTATGCTGAAATGGTTTCCATTTTTCAATCATTCTTTGTCTGAAAGTAGACTCAATATCCCTACATTGAACATTCTAAAAATTAATTAAAATTTATGTTAAAAATTTACCAATAATGTTATATTTCATAACTTACATTTGTATTGGCATTATTTTTTTCAGATTTTTCTTCCTCCTTACTTTTAGAATTAATTTTGGACTAAAATACAAAATTAATTAACAAAAAAATATCATTAAAAAAGTTTATAAACTTACTTTGATTCGTGTAAACAATTCTCCCAGTAAATGAATAGCTTCTAGTTTTCTTTGTGTTTTTAACAGAAGCCTTTCTTCAGTCGCAATTTTTTGGTTCATTATATCAGCTTCTTGTTCAGCTAAACGCTTAATACGTCTTGCTTTACGTTTTTCTTCTCGCAATTTACGTCTTTCATTTTTTTTTTCCAATTCAAAAAGTTTTTTTTTACTAAAATGTAAGTAAAAAAAAAAATATGCTTATGTATAAATTGTTATGTATTACAAATTTATTCATTTAATTAAGAATTACTATCTTACTTTTCTTCTTCTCGTTTTTTTAATTCTTTTACTTTTTCTAGTCTTTCTTTTTCTTCAATCACTTTTTTCCTCATTAGGAAACGATCACGGCGTTCATGTCTTTTTGTAATCTCATTTAATGTCATGTGTTTTGTTTTATCAAAGTCTACTTTAATATTAGCTATAAGTGCTTTTGTATCAGTGATTAAAGCCAATTTATTACCCCTTAATGCATCCATTGCTTTTGCAAAACCTGAATAGTCTCTGAATTGAATGTATGCATCACAGATTCCTACTCCATGAATAACTCTTGATGGGTCTGCAGCAGGTAAATCAACACGAGCTACTTCACCGAATCCATTGAATATTTTTTTTAGAATATTTTCACTTGGATATTTTTCTCCAGGTTCAGTTAACCACTCCAAAGGTAAATTTTCAATGTGTAAAGTATCAGGACGCTCACCTGGCTTCAGTTCATTCATATCTTTATTATCACGAAAATATGAATCCCAATTATGACGAGTAGGAAAATCTGGTTTAGATTCAACAGCACGCACAGTCAATAGATGAGAAAATCCAGGAAATTTTATTCGTCTATTACACAAACGGGATAATACTGTTGACAATCGTGAACGGTCTGTTAATTCTGCATCGAACCTAAAATTAAATCAATTATAGATATTTTTTTTATAAACAAAGTTATTGAAGATATCTTCTTTAAAAAATACTTATTAACCTTATTAAATCCAAAGACGTTTTTGCTATACAAAGATGAGAAAACTTGTCTGGATCTATCCATTCCTTTAAACGCTCCATGATTTGCCAATTGGAAATTGTTGTTTTGGTTTTGCCATCCAATTGAACAGTGATCATAATCCGTGCAAAAGGTTTCAGAAATAAATTTAGACGAGGACATAATGAAATTGCGTCTGATTCATCTATTACTGTTTCAAATATAGCCTGCAATATAATATTCTTAGGCTAGGTATATGAAATACTTGATAAATAAGTGAGTTAGGTGGTTGATGTATGAAAATGCAAATTTTTCTAACAACTTTAGACTTTTGATATAAGAACACTGTTCTTCAATATATATTGGAACTGTTTGGCCCATGAACAAAATAATAAATAAGACTAAAACTTAAATTAGTATAGCACTACTAATTACTAATATTTATTTTTAAATATCATTAACAATTTTTATCATGATATAAATTGTATATGTTTGGTCTGAAACATAAACAGCTGCCACCAAAATCCTTACTACCAATTTAAAATAACACTAAGCTATACATAATATGTTATAAATATTATTTAACAATAGGTAAGTAGGTATAAAGTTCATAGTTTAAAAATGTATTTTATCCATCAATATTATTATTTATTTGTATTAATATTATAAATACATAATATATTTATGATTAATAGATATTATGATGGATTATACTAACCAAAAGAAACTAATATTTTAATAATTTTATAAGAATTGTACTTGATTTAAATATAATGATCAACAATTATAAATATATATATATTCTTATATTAATTCTTAAACATATTTTAACTGGTTTTAATTTAAAAATTCTACTATTGTCTACTAAATGAAATGTCAGAAAAAGATATGACTCAGTAAGTTCACACAAATACCTTCAAACCACTAATTACAGCAACATTTTTCAGATTTCTACCAACTCTTGGGCTTATCAGTTTCATTAATGTTTGACATTCAATAATACCTAAGAGATAGTTAGATATTTTATTTTTATGAATTATTTGTATTAAGTACATTGTTATATTTAAAAATGTAATTAACCTGTTTTGAGTTCATTTTAATGACAATTACACAGCCAAATTAGGTAGTCGACATTCTGGTCCTAGTTTAAGAAAGACTTACAATTATATTACACACATTTCCTTATAGATTTCTTACTCTTTGACGACCATTGATTAAACAAATACATATAAACACTAATATGTAGCAAATGAAAAAAATTAAGAACTAACTGAGAATCATATAAATAATTGAATAAAAAATAGTACTGTTCGTGAGAAKTATAGTGTATAAACAGGAAAATAAACTTAGAATTTACATATTATTATACAAAGTCAATAATCAACAATAGACAATAGACAATCGTATTTGCCAATTGGTTATGTTATTAATTTATTATTAAAAAAAAATTAGTTAGACATTAGACAATATATAAAATGTATATTATTTATTATTATCAAAGACCGGGGTATCTACTGTGATAAGTTATCATTTATCAATGTCACCAACATAATATTAATATGCTTTACGGTATAATTTAAAATTTTCAAGAAAACCTCAGATTCTCAGCGATTGTTTTTACGGGTATGAAAAAAGTGTAGAGTATCTGCTGAGTAAGTACTAAGTAGGTAGTTTAAACCATATAAAGAAATATACCAAGTGCTAAATCCAAACCGCGACTTGCAGTTGCCCATTTAGGTCGTATTATGTCACAATGTTAGGTACACTGACGCTGATTTGTTCGTGAACTGAAGCGCCTACATGAAAACTGAGATAATATACTCCTACAAAAAATATAACTTATATAGGGCATAATATACTATATACATAATTATATAAATACATAAATTATTGTTTTTGTCACAATATTTTACTAATCTCCTCGATGTTTTTTCAAACATTAAGTATAGTTCGGTATCGGTAGGTATTGAAAAAGCTTCAGTTCTTTAATATTTTTTTTTTTAAATAATGAAAGTTATCATACCATTTATAAAGACTTTAATATTTAGAATAATATAAGATCCCAATAAGATGATGTCTCTGATGTTATATTGTTTTTTATAAATTGTTTATAGTAATAAATTTATTTTTAATGTGTCTTTTCGTTATTATTTTGCGCAAATATACGTGCATCCTTCTTGTTTATTATTTATACTATTGATTAAATACACACTAACTATATTTATACGTTGTTAGATTCTTAGATTTAACTTTTAATTTATGTTATTTCCGCTCTAGCAGATGATATTAAAACGAGTAAAACACGATAATCATAAGTACCACCAAACTTTTCACCCAAGATTCTAATATTTAGGGATCCCATACGTCCCGTATTTTACGGGATTGTCCCGTATTTGAAGGAAGTGTCCCGGTGTCCCGATTAAAGTTTAAAAATAACACTTTTGTCCCGTATTTTGGATAATCCGTCTCGTATGCACCTTATTTTTAAAATGACATTTTTTATATAATTTGGGTTTTTAAATTTTAAATTATTGATAAACTATATTATCTAATAATAGATGATAAATAAATATTTGATTATAAAAAAAATCTGAAAAAAAATTAAAATTATCTCATGATTTTTTTGTTGGTATTGGTATATTTTTTTAATTTTAATTTTATCAGAAGAAAATCACCTAATATATTATGTTATAAATTAATAATGTATACAAATAAGTAAAATTAAATGTTCCTACATTATTAAAATTTTTATTTTATTTTT